ATGACGGGAAAGGCGTTAAGGAAGTCCCCATTTATGGAGCCGGGGTGGGGGACCCACAGGGCAGGTGAGGCTTGGGGAGCAGCAGGAAGCCCCAACTGTCTGCAGTGGCCGAGAGCGGGAGGCTGGGACCTGAGCAGGTGGTGGCTGTGATCACGGGAGAGGGGCTGTCCCCCCCCGGCCAGAGCTGAGGCCATTGAGTGGAGCGCAGTGACCTTGGTCCATGGCATGCTGCGGGGGGCGGGGGGTAGTGGTGGTGGAGTAACCCCCACTCAGCTTTCTTCCCTCCATCTCCCGCTGGCTGAGCCGTCCTGGAAGCCAGAGGGCAGGGGAGGTGGGGATGGGTTCCTTGGATGAGGTCCAGCCCCTGCGCAAAGGGGAGTCGGGGACAATCAGCGACTAACCAGAGGGAAGCAAGAGAATTCTACCAGGGGCAATGGGGCACAGGGCTGCCCTGTTACCTGTCAGGTGACCTCCTACCTCTCCCTCTCCTCCCCTTCTCTCCCCCACTCTCCTCCCCCTCCTCCCTCTTCCCTCCCCTCCCCCCTTTCCTCTCCTTCCCTCCCCCCCTTTCCCTCCCCGCCTTCCCTCCTTTCCTTCAAGAACCACACCTGAGTGCTAATATAGCCAGATGAGAGGACACATTACCCATCCCCGGGCAGGGGGTGGGGCGCCCTTGACCCGATCGGTGGGTGTAACAGGTAAGTGACCCAGTTTTGACCCAGCTACGTTAGGGCCAGAGGGTGGTTTGTGGGTGGGGGCGGGCTTCTCGCCCACCGCAGTGCTGTGCTGAGTTCTGAGGGGTGTGGAGGGGTCTGCTAGGCGAGGAGGGGCAGGAGGTTGGCCTGGGGTGTGTTCCAGACCCGGGGGAGCTAGCCGGCCAAGGCCAGAAGCAGGACATGGGCACTTCAGAAGAACTCCATGCCTTGCAGAGTCTGACTTCGGAATCGCTGATGACTCTCTCGCCGGCGGATCGGGTTAAACGTTTGCACTGTCTTTCTTGGCACCTCATGCCAGGAAGCGCGTGCAGCCTTTTGTCCCTGTAGGTGAGGCGAGGTTTGGTGGCCTGTCCTGGTATGTAGAGGCCTGTCCCCTGACCCCAGGTTGTTGGCCATCTCTCAGCCGTTGGTGGGGCGGGGGGGCCGGCCCCCATCAGTCTGTCGCCCCCATCAGTCTGTCACCCAGCGGTTCTGGCGCATCCATCCCTGGGCCTTGCCCGAGTCAGTGCGTGCGCCGATGGTGGTCAGATGGTGATTTCCTAATGAGATTAGCCTGCCTCCCGTTAATAGGGACCCTTCTCCAGAAGGGAGCAGCGTTCCCTCCCCTGGCCTGCACCCAGCGTGTGGCTTCCCTCCCCCCACCCCCAAAGTGCTATCATCCGTCATTGTCATGGTTCATTTCAGAGATAAAGTGATCCCAGATTTGGCCAGCGGGAGCCCCTCCTGTTTTTTCTGACATCTCCCCGTCATTTAAAGACATTCTTCATCAGTTACTCCTCATCACCCACAAGCTGTTGCAGACCCACACCGCCCCCTGTCCGCCTCGGATCTGGAATCGGCCTTTCCCCCTAGCAGCTTCGTTCCTTGTAGATGATGTTTTTTTTTGAAACCTGGGTCTTGGTGCTCGGTGAGCTCATTTATCAAAAGGTGTTAAGCTCCAGTGATTGATCTGTTATTGACGATCCCTCCTTTCTCACAGCAAAGCTCCAGAACGAGAGCACTTGGTAGTCGTTGCCGACAGCTATTTCTAGCTGGCTCTGGCCCCCCACGAATCCTCCGCCCCTCCCCAGAGATTCTTCCTAAAAAAGCAGGTTCCCCTCATCCTGGCAGCGATATTGCTGGATTCAAGCCGTCTGTCTTTCATTGGGTTTCCCATCTGCTCCTTCTGGCATCCCCAGCGAGTGGAGATGGTCCTTGGTTAGGCTCCAGCCATGCTGGGGCCCCTGGATCGAGTCTGGAAGCTTCCGGGACTCCCAGGCCACACAAGGGGGCCCCACCACGGCTCCGTCCCTGGGCAGGTCACCTCCTCCTCACTCAGGGGAAGGAAGGAGGGGGTTTGTGTGAGCAGGTTTCTGGGAACTCTTGGAAGGAAGGGTTCTCCTTCAGAGGTGGGTGGAAGCATCCTGTGTCCATGATCGACTCACCTGGGCCACGGCAAGCAAGCACTGAAGCTGGGAGAGGCAGGATTTGAAATGAGGTAGCCCGGCTCCCTGCATACTCACTGGGTTGCCTCGCTCAAGCCTTCCGCAAGTGTGTGCTCCAGGCACAGAATAAGGAAGCACGGAGGCTTTGGAGTCAGAAATGTTCGTGTTCAAAGCATCGCTTTGTTGCTCGCCTGCTTTGCAACCCCGGGCAGGCCATCCACGCTCTTGGGCCTCAGTTTCTTCATCTCATGGTGACGACGGTGGTCCTCACACTTAGGGGTGAGTGTGAGCATTAGAAGTGAGAATAATCGGGAAGGGGCTTGCCCAGAATCCGGTGTCTAGTTTGTAGTAATAACTAGTGGTTATACTTGTTACTAAATGGAATACTTCATACAAATCCTAAAGTGCTCTATAATTACGAAGAGTCGATAATCTTAAAATCAAGGGTCCGGGGATGTGGAGAACCTGACTCCCAGCCCTTGGGGGATCTCCCCTGGGGCCTGACCCTGCCCACTGTCTGGTCATCATGGAAAGAACATGACGAACTTCCCTTCCCTAGACAGAGGAACTTACCTGTTCACAAGGACAACTAGGAGTACGACAATAATAACAGCGCTTGTGCGTTTTAGAGAAGCAACAAGACAGGGAATGCTGGGCAAGATCTCAGAGCGGGGTGGTGGTGGAGGGGGGGTGGACAGAGGCTCAGGCAGCAGAGCATGGCATTTGGGGCCATGGTGATCTAAGCATGCTTTCCGAGATGGTGAGCGGTGCCTTGACAGGTTCATACGGCCAGGGGACAGGAGTCCAGGGTTGTGGTCGGCGCAACAATGGCCCCCAAGGATAGCAAGGGCTAATCCGGGAATTTGTGAGTATTTCCCTTCATTGAAAATGGACTTTAGCAGCTATGATTAAGGATCTTAAGATCGGGAGATGATCCTGGCTTAGTTAGCTGGACCTAAACATAATCCCAGAGGGAGATTTGACGCAGAGGATGAAGGCCTTGTGACCACTGATGTGTGATGCTGGACTTCCGGTTTTGGAGATGGAAAGAGGAGCCACAAGTCAGGGAACATGGGCACCTCTAGAAGCTGGAAAAGGCCAGGATTCTCTCCTAGAGCCTCCAGAGGGAGGGCAGCCCGGCTGACCACTTGACTTTGTCCCAATAAAACTAACTTCAGACTTCCGCTCCCCCGAACAGTAAGAAAATCAGTGTGTGTTGTTTTTAGCCACCGAGTTGGTGGTAATTTGTTACAGCAGCCTGGGAACCTGACCTGGCAAGCCTGCCTTGTTTTGAGTTAGGACTACAGAGGGCTGACCTTATACGTGAGGGCGAGCCAGAAGCAGACAGACCCCGTGGATGCTGCACTTTAGCTCTACATAACCGGAACCCCTGAAACTGTGAGGAGACCATTCGGACTCCTGGTACCCCAGATAGCCGGCAGACACAAATGTAAATCCTTTCTGGACAGGGGTAACATCATCCTAAACTCCTATGTCGTAAGTCTGGTGTTTGTGCACGATAACAGACTACTAGGCACGCGAGGAGACAGGGCAACATGGAAGCTCAGCAGAAACAACAGACCACAGACACAGACCCTCAGGAAACCCAGCAACGGAGTTACCAGATGAGAACTTCGACATGACTGTTTTGTGTGCTCAAAGAGTTTACGAGACAGGGTTGAGAGTTTCAGTGAAGAACTGGGAGCTATAGAAAGCAGCGAAGTGGAAATTAAGAACTCAGAGTACAATATGTGATATTAGGAGCCTAGTGGCTGGGTTTAACAGCAGGTGACACAGCTGAAGAGAGATTCAGTGACTTGGGAGAAGGGTCGAAAGAAAAAACCAGAATGAGGTGCAGGGTCAAAGGATAGAAAACACCAGAAAGAGGGTAAGAACCGTAGCAGGCGGGATCCAGTTGGACGTCTATCATACATACAATTAGCATTCCAGAAGAAAAAGCAGGGAAATGGGCTGGAAGCAATATTGATGGCTGGGATCTGGGGTGAGACTGCCCTCATTTGCTGGGTCCGTTGTAACAAAATCCCACAGCTGGCGTGGCGTAAACAACAGAAATCTACTTTATCGGGGCGCCTGGGTGGCTCAGTCATTAAGCGTCTGCCTTCAGCTCGGGTCGTAATAGGGATCGAGCCCCGCATCGGGCTCCCTGCTCCACGGGAAGCCTGCTTCTCCCTCTCCCAGTCCCCCTGCTTGTGTTCCCTCTCTCACTGTGTCTCTCTCTGTCAAATAAATAAACAAAATATTAAAAAAAAAAAAAAAGAAATCTACTTTATCGTGGCCCTGAAGCCAGAAGTCTGAGATCCAGCTGTTGGCGGGTTTGGTCTCTCCTGGGCCCTCCTCCTTGGTCTGCAGGTGGTGGCTTCTTGCTGCGTCCTCACATGGTCTCTGTGCACACACATCCCTCGTATCTCTCTGTGTCCACATCTCCTCTTAGAAGGACATCAGGTTGGACTAGAGCCCACCCCAAAACCTCAGTTTCACTTAATCACCTGTTTATGATATGACCTCCAGTCATATCCAGAGGTGCTAGGAGTTAGAGCTTCAACTCATGCCTTTTTGGGGACGTGGAGTGGGGTAAGGCACACAGTTTAGGCCGTAGCAAAGATAGTAAGCCATGGATTCGGGAATGTCCGTGAATCCAGAGCAGGACAAGTAAAACAAAACCGCATCTCTCCACCCCATGCCAACACTGCCAAATGCTGAAGATACAGAGGAGCCTTCCAAGCAGCCAGAAATAAAGGACGGTTTGCTTTCAGGAGAGTGACCGCTAGCGTGTCAGCTGACTTCTCAGCAGAAACTGGAATCCAGGAGGTGGTGAGCAATATCCTTAATGAGCGGGAAGAAGGAAATGCCAGCCTGGATTCCTTCAGCAAGGATGTCCTTCCAGCTTCTGGCCAGAGTCTGTGTAGCAGCCTGGGGTCCCAGTGGGTTAGACCGGAAGTGTGGTGGGATGGACCTGTAAGCTCTGGTGAGTGGCTGTGATGTGGAAGGGCTCTATGTGGTACCCTGGGGCCGAGAGGGGAAGGATCGTGGAGGGGGCCTCCCCAGGTGGGGTTCAGACCTTCCTGGAGAAGGTGTGGTCCAGCCTGCTGGACAGCGGAGAAGCTTTCTGGGTTTCCCAGATGGGAGCCGGTCTGGAGTCCTGGGGCAGGCGGCCACCCTCCTGTGTGCAGTCAGGGCCCAGTGATCAGCAATGGGGGGGTTGCTGATCGGAGAGGGTGGGGGTCTGCGGTGCAGGTGAGCTGCGTGGGGACTTGCAGAGGGACAGTGGCCTGGTGGGAACCCTCTGTGGAAAGCAGATCAGTGGCTTCCAGGGAGAAGAGGGGATGGGGAGGAGGGAGAGACACATATGTATAATGGGGTCAGAACTTATCATATTTTATGCCTTGAATAAGGACGATTTGTTGCCTGTCAATAATACCGCGATAATGCTGTTTAAGGAAAGCACAGCGTTTAAGGACGCAGGCTTGGTGGCAACTCTAAAGAAGAGGAAGTGTTTCACATAAAAGTCAGGATAGCGTGTTACCTTTGGGGGGGGTTTGGACTGGGAGGGGGGCCCTGGCTTGGGGAGGGGGGCTCCTGGAGCCCTTGGTAGTGCCCTGTTTCTTGACCTGGATTGTGGTTTCGTGGCTGTTTACTTTGTGATGAATTTTTGATCTTCGGGACTGGGAAAAAGTAGGACCTGGTATTGCAGAGGAGAGGTCTGTGCTCAGCTCCCTTCCCAGCTGCTCCCTGAGTGCGGGCCTGGGGGGTGCCTCGAGGAACCCCTGCCGCGTCTGCAGCCCTCCCCTCCCCTCCCTCACAGGACTGACACCGGGGAGAATGTGAGCCGAGAACAGGATGGGGGTGGGGGCAGCGTGGATGGGCCTCTCCCACGAGGAAGCGCAGGTGCAAACAGGAAGCCAGGGTGTCAGGGCCATGGAGGGTCACGTGTGGCAGGACACCAGTAGTCCCCAGAGAGGGGTCATGGTTCTCACTGGTCACGGTCCACGCCCGGGGAGCTGATTCACTCACAGCTCTGGCCTCTTCCCAGCCGATGGCCCCTGGCTGGCCATTCAGGAGGCCGGAGCCCAGGCTCCAGATGCGATGTCTTCTCCTCGTCTGCAGGTGCAGGGCCCGGGCACAGGTGGGTGCCCGCTGGGAGGCAGGGGCCCAGGGCTGTGGGCACACACCCGGCCCTGGGCCCGCCTTGCTCTCTTTCCTGCCTTGTGTTTTCCTTGGAGCCTAGTGTCTGACATACTCTAGAGTTTTATTTATTTCTGTGTTTAGTGTCTCCCTCTCTCTACTTGAAAGGCAGCTCAAGAGAGCAGGAATTATTGCTGTGTTTCCTGCTTTTTCTTACTGGTTAGAGCAGTGCCTGCTCCCACATAGGCACTCAGGAAGTATTTGTGGAATGAAGGAATGAAAGGAGATTTCTGTTTGATCGACCCAGAGAGGATTCTCTTTTGAGTGGTAGGTTTAACGCCGTAGGATTCCTTTTTTTTTCTCTCTTATACCGTTTCTTGATTCTGTGCAGCAGATAATATTTATTTAGCCACATTGTTACGAATGACGAGTATTGGATTCTATGTAATAGAGCCTCCCTCTAGATAAAGTACACAAGACTTGGCTGGGGCCGGGTGACAGAATGTGAGTGTTTAAACCGAGCAGTAGTAAAATAAATAAGTGTGTGTGTGTGTGTGTGTGTGTGTGTGGTGGGGGGCAGATAGCGGGAAGGATCCATGCCCAGTTCATAGTGCTGGGCGGGAGGGGGGCAGCAATTACATCATTGCTTTATGTACTTCTTTCTATACCTCTCAACTGTCGGGTTCTTTTTTTTTTAACAAGCACGCGTTACTTCTTTATTAAGCGTTTTGTTTCTAAATTTAAAAAAAAAAATGTCCAGTTGAGGATCTGGAAAAATGACCCTCAGTCCTGTCCTGAGTCCAGGCGAGGCCCCTGGTTTCAGAGTGGTCACTCCGGCCTCTCTCAGGTCCCTGGGTGTCCCCGGGGAGGCTGCCTGGGGCCAGAGCTCTGGTTCTTTCTGGAAGGGGCATCTTGGAGGCCGGCTTGTTTTCCGGTTTTCGAGGCTGATTGCCGGCAACCTCCCCCCTCTGCCTGTTGCCCCTGCAGTTAACACAAGGCCGGACCTTGGATGCAGACAGTCAGGACGTCTGCTCAGGTGGAGCAGGGGTGACGTTGGACAAGTCACTTGGCTCATTCATCATTCCCTGCAGGTCTGCTTTGCACCGAGCCTCGTGTGTGATGAGTAAGACATGGCCATGGCCCTTAGGGCACTCATAGGCTAGTGGGGGAGACAGACACCACCTGGGTTTATTCTCTGCTTGTCTCCCACAGGGTAGGCAATGTGTAGGCACTGTCCTAGAGGGGAGGGGTCTGGATTCCCACAGGTAGGCTTCCTGGAGGAGGTGGTGCCTGAGCTGAGTCTTTGAGGTGTAGCCAGGCAGATGGGGGGGGGAAGGGGAGTGGGGCCAGAGGATCAGAGGTGTTCCAGAGGCAGAGGACAGGCAGTAAGGGGCCACTTTATCACCTGGTGGAAGGAGGTGGGGTTGAGGGTAAATAGACAACACATGGAAAGGGGGCCCAAGGTGGGGCTCAGTATTCAGTACCCCAACCCCTTTTGGGAGAGTTGGGGCTGGGGCAGGGCCTCCAACCTTGATCTTGCCCCTTGACGACCTTGATGAGGTAGGCCAGACACCTTTATCCATTGGAAAAGTTGACACTGGTCACGGATCATAACTGGCTGTCCTGTAGATTATGTCCCATAGATCACCAAACCCCATGAAGCGGCATCATGTGTCCTCGGACCCTCGGGACTGCATCATCCATAGGGTGTTGCTCTAAGGGAAATCTAGGACTCAGACGCCCGCCCGCCAGGAGGGCGAGGGCAGGAAGGGGGTCGTGTGAGTGGGTTGATGGGCAGCGGAGGGCGACCTGGCGGCTGGACCACCTGGACGGAGGGACGGAGCAACCCTTGGCGACAGAGTGACAGAAACGAGTACCAGGAGACGTGTGGAGATTTTCTCAGGGTTTAGTCCAAATTCTTGGATTTTTAAGTGTCCGTCCCACATATCAGAACCAATTAAGAAGATTTTTAAAATACTGAAAACATGCAGAAAAATTCAGAAAATAACTAAAAAGCATCCATGGCCCCCCCCCCCCCCCCCCACTGACGCTATTTACGGTTTTAGATTTCTTTCCAAAATGGGAGACGTGATGTTGCTGGTGCCCATCCCCCTCCCCCGGCCCGGAAGTAACTGGCGCTCCCGAGTTGGCGGTTATTCCCACAAGGCTTCGTACTTCTGCCATGCTGTGACAGTACCTGGTTAAGGTGGCCGACGTTTGCAGCCCAGCCTAAAGCTCTCGCACATCCCTGCTGAGCGAGGGGCCGTGCCTCGGTTTCCCGGGGCTGCTGGACCAACGTACACAGACGGGGGGCTCAAACACTGGGAATGTAATCTCTTGCAGTTTTGGGGCCAGAAGCTCAGAATCGAGGTGTCAGCAGGGCTGCGTCCTTCGGAGGCTCTGAGGGACAGCCTGCCCCGGGCCTCTCCTGGTTCCTGGGGGTTTGCTGGTATCCTTGGTGCTCAAGGACTTGTAGAAGCGTCTCCCCCTTCTCCACCTTCCTCTCCACATGGCGTTCTCCCTGTGTACCTGTCTCTGTCCAAATGTCCCCTTTTTGTAAGGACACCAGTCATATTGAATGAAGGTCCCCCTGCTCCAGTATGACCTCAGCTTAATTAATTACTCCTACAATGGCCAGTTCTAAATAAGGTCATGTTCTGAGGTCTCAGGGGTTAGGACTTCAACCTATAGTTTTTTTTTTTTTTTTACCGTATCATTATTTTTAATGTCCAGCATTTACAATACGAGGGCCAGAGCTTTCTCCCCAACTCAAGTTTATAAATTCTCAATTGGCTTGTGAGGCCAATAGGGATACTTCTTCTTGTCTTATTTGGTTTCTGGAAAGACTTCATTCAGGTCCTCAATGGTCATCTGATCAAATGGAATTATGTTCCGCATCTTCTCCAGCTCTTTTTCATATTCCTCAATCCTGGCCTTTGAGAGAGACAAAAACTCGGCACAACTTTTCACAACTTCTTTTTCTTCAGCATCCACCTGAACAGTATATTTATCCTCTGGCACAGGAACCTTCAGGGCATTAAACTTCTTCTCAAAGTCATCTACCAAACCAGCCTTCGCCACATTGGCCTTGTAGTAAGCCCAGTCGATAGCAGGTGGTTTCTCAGGGAGAGTAGCCAACCTGGAGGTAAGGGTCTCATTCCAGGATTTCAGGGAGTTAGCAATGGCCTTCTGGTTTCGGGGTATGATCTCCCCAAAAGCTACCCAGTCAATGGATTTTAGAGCAAGTTTTCGCGCAGCCATCTTGAGATCCTTCACCGACCCCGGCGGCCCAGAGACCACAGCAGCAAGGAACGGATCAACCTATAGTTTTTGAGAGGACACAAGTTTACCTGTCATGGCCGGTTATTACTGTTACTAACCTCACTGTTTCATTGAATTCCCTCTCCATCACACCGCTCTCCCATGCAGACTGGAAGCTGGGATGTCCCCGGTCCTGTGCCTGGAACCCTGGGACGAGTGAGGGAGCAGGGCAAGGCGGGGCCCCAGCTCTGGCCCTGCTGTTCCCACTGTGCCTGGGGTGCTTGGCGTAGCACCCCATTTTCTCCTCAGGTAAAACAGAGCCAAGCCCCCTTCCTCTCCCCTGGGATGGCCCTGCGTGTCCCCTCGCTGCGAATGGGCTTTGTAACCCCAAGAGTGCTGGCCGTGGGTCATTCTGGGTCGGAAGCCACCAGAGCCTTGGTCATTGAGAAGGGGAGGCCCGCAGGGACAGGGGCAGGCGTGGGGTGCTAACGGCTTGAGCTGAAGACGCATCTCGGGAGGATTCCGTTTTGGATTCCATTTCGGATTCTGTTTCGGATTCCCCGTGGTTGCGCAGATCTGAAA